ATGCAATTGATTATAGGGCTGCATTCTGAATGCAAATTTTTCTTGTTTAACAATGAACTACCTCCTTCCATATAAGATAACTGCTTTGAAGAAGCGAATTTACAAAGTGCGTGTGTTAGTGTGGAATGGGTAGTTTAAAAGATTGGTTTCTGAGAATGTAGGGTTGTCATGTATTCAATTTATGCAATTCAAGATTTTATTCAAACGTTTCAGCCTTGGTATTGCGACCTTCGTCAGTAAGTAAGGGCAATGCAAATTACATGGATGGGCTAATGGAATCCCTTACTATCACTTTCCTCCTTCTTTTCATGTTTCATAAAAACAAAAAACAAAACCTTTTAGAATACATACCCTTTTGGGGGCGACAGCCTTTGAAACGAAGTGATACTTGTGCATGGCACGAACCCACAAACACATTGATGTGCACGCTTTGGAGACCTAATTAAATAAACAAAGATAAATAAAAAATAACAAACAAAGTTTGCGGTGCCACACAGCTCAGTTATGGGCCTTTTGGTAATTTTAACCTTGAAATTGCGGCACGCGTAAAATCTTTTATATTGATTTGAGGGTGTTGTACAACAAAATGGGGGTACCACTCAGCTCAGTCATAGGGCCTCTTATGTAATTTTACCTTCGAAATAGCGGCAGGCGTGAAATCTTCCATGTCGATATAAGGTTGTATCTTCTGGATGACAGCATCAGGGATATTATCATTATCATACTTAAGTAAACTTTCTAGAAATTTTGTAGGATCTTGCAGCATTGCTTTACCAGGTTCCCAGTAATCATCGACCTTAGTTCCAACCTAGATAAGAAGAAATGCTATTATAAATCACTGCAAATTTTATTACCAATATTGTGGTACCACACGGCTCAGTCATTGGTCCTCTATTCCAAATATCGTACAGTCATTTGTGACCAAATAACCTTCAACACATTATTTCTCTTCTTCAAAATAAAGTTCCTAAGAGTGTATTCCATGATACTGCGACTACTACTTTTACCTTTTAATATTGTGGTACCACAAGGCTCAGTCATTGGTCCTCTATTCCAAATATCGTACAGTCATTTGTGACCAAATAACTTTCAACACATTATTTCTCTCCTATCAAATAAAGTTCCTAAGAGTGTATGCCATGATACTGCGACTACTACAGCTATTACCTTTTAATATTGTGGTACCACAAGGCTCAGTCATTGGTCCTCTATTCCAAATATCGTACAGTCATTTGCGGCCAAATAACCTTCAACACATTATTTCTCTTCTTTCAAATAAAGTTCCTAAGAGTGTATGCCATGATACTGCGACTACTACAGCTATTACCTTTTCTCCTGCCACTTTCTTTGGTTTAACACCCTTCATGATACACACAGACTCGATGACGATCTTGACTCCGAGAGGAGGACGCTGCAATGCTCGAATCTATCAAACACGAACAAATAGAACTAATCAAGTATTCCTTTGATTAGGGGCAGGGTTAAAATGGTCTAAAATAGGGACCAAATTTTACTGATATAGTTGGTGGGTACCAAGCTATATCCCCACCCCTCCTCCCCCCCCATGTTGGAATATTTGATACTGGGTGTCTGTAGTGACTGTATCTATAAACAAATACGTTGTTTGCCACGCAACCAATAGGCAGTAAATCCATTTGTAGATTTCACTTCCTGAGACACGGTTTACTCACAGATCGAATCATATTTTTTTAAACTTACCTCGACTACATCGTTCTTGTTCAGTGACTTCAAGCTTGCTAAAGCCGCTTCCTAACAAACAAAGATATAGAGATGAACTATTTATCCCACACTTGTCCAATGATATTGTTTAAGAATACGTAACAGATTATATAACTACTTACCAAAGCTGGCAGAGCCTCGTCCAAGTCTCTCTGCGCATCATCTGCGATAGTCTGGGTCTCAACGGCTTTCTTAGCAGCTTCTGCCTCCTCTCGTTGGACAACTACTTTGGTTTCATTAGCAACCACCTAACGAACAGAACAGAAACCATCATGATAATGGACTAGTTTGACGATACGGCGGCGATCTTGCAAAGAGGCAAAACAAAACAAAACATGATGACGGAAAATATAGAGTCCCGTGTATTTATCTTTATTTTATGAGTAAAGGTAACTAAAGGTTTGTTGTATTCTCGTGGCGAGCTGTTAATATCAATCGACGTTAATACTGTAACAACATCTATTCCTCTTCTGTGACGTTCGCTCCACGCCCACTACCACTACATTCACTATGTACAAAACATTCAAAAATACTGTAACAAATACGATTTCTCTTCTGTAAGGTCCGTTTAACGCCCACCACCACCACTTTCACTATTAGTACAAAACACATTCATAAATAAAGCCCTTGTGTTGAAGGGAGAGAACACATCCAACAATCTACGGAGAACCCGGGTAAGAGGAAATAAAGCAAATTAGACACAAATTCCAACAAGATTTGATAGACACCAAAAGATTTGTATAGAGTAAAGAACGCTTGAATGATTTTGTAGATATATTTTCTTTTCCATTGTACTTTTTCTATATATATGTTGTTTGTTTTTTTCTTGCTAATATGTTAAACTAATTTTTCTTTTCCTTTTTCCTACAAACTCCAAAAAAAATTGTAATTATGTTCTGCGTAATCTCCCACGATGAGCTTAGCTCTTGGAGCGAACACAGAGAGTTAATATGTTTAAATAAAAATAAATAAGTAAATAAAAGATAGAAATCTAAGCGTTTTTACCGTGTCTACTTTGATCTGCTCCATTGTCTCTACAGTCTCTTGTTTGGCTTGAGTAAGTAAAGGCTGCATCGATTCTAGTTCTTCTTGGAGCTTAACCACCTCATCAGCTGTAGTCAGAAGCTATTTAGAACAGATGCGGAGAAATAAGACATATCAAAATGAACCAGCATATCATCACTAACCCTATTCGACATGACTGGGATAGTAGGGCCTCTTGTTTTGATACGTATAACTGGATGGCTGGCATGGTTTAAGAGTGGTTTTCAAATAAGTGGGAAACGATATGACAAATTCGTAATTGTTGGTAATATATTAGCGTAGCCGTAACCACACGTTATGGCAGGATGAATTGTACTGGAGGACAATGGGAAGACATACGTTTCTGACTCATACGATAGCCATTCTTGTGGGAAGCCATTTCAATCTTACAGCAAGTCGTACCGTGTACTTGCAGTAAGTCAGTACCATACGTTTCTGACTCATACGATAACCATTCTTATGGGAAACCATTTCAATGTTACAGCATGTCGTACCATGTACGTGCTGTAAGTAAGTAGAAACCGTATGTTTCCGCTTGATGATGATAGATAGCATCAAGAAATGTTCAAATGGGACGAGGGCAGCAACGAGAGTAAACCAAGGTAGCTTTACCAACCTTATCGAGACCAGTCTTGGTTCTGTTACGGGCGTTTTGTAACTCGGATTTCTTTACACCGATCAGTTTACGGAACGTTCCGAGCAGATCAAGATAACTGGAAGAAACAAGAACTAATATCAAGCAAAAAACAACAACAGTATTTTGAATTTATAGGCACTATTTTTTTGATTTGACAGATTTAGTACACAAAAAAATGTATACATGGCGGAACAACAACAAGACACGAAGTTCTTTACTAGGTTATCCATCAAGCCCAACCATAGAAAAAGATTACCCAAGCCCAAAAACCTATAAGTACGATATTAATAAGAATTAGTGCAGTTTTCGCATGACCGTGAAAAGTTCACGGCACGAACACGGTCGTAACACAGCAAGGGATACGCCAGACAAATCACATTGCACGAGAATTTACTCTCCATCCAATCAAATACCCGGAACAAGGCATAAACACGGCGCGGACACGGGCACGCCAAGATCACGGCACTTTTAGACCAATCATATTGCGCGTGAAAAAAATCAGCCAATTAAAATTCTAGAAAGTATCACGGTCACGGCACTTCACGCTTACGGCACAGAGCTTTTCACGGTCATACGAAAACTGCACTATAATAACACTATGGGAGACCACGCACAATGACTTGGTGTAGATAACAGCCATACCTTACTGGGTTATCCATCAAGCCCAACCCCAGTAAAAAGATTACCCCAGCCCAAAAACCTATAAGAACGATACTAATAGTAATTAAAATAATACTATGAGAGACCACGCACAATGACTTGGTGTAGATAACCATACCTTGTTGGTGTTACATAGTTATGTCTGGATAACTCAGCCAGGTAAAGTTCTGACTTCTTTGCCACAGACTGATGGATCTCGCCACAGATGGATACCTAGAAGAGACCAATAAGATAACCATGTTATTCCAATACTAAGACTGCAGAAATAGAAAACGCGCGCGTGTGCTGTGTGCAGTTATAAAGCACACGGGGTTGGCAGAACACGAGAGAAGTGTTAGGAGAAGACGACAAGTAGCGGAGTGCTTCTCTACACTTCTCGAGTGTTCTGTCAATCCCCAAGTGCTTTTTATAACTGCACACAGCACACGCGCGCGTTTTCTATTTCTATTTCGCCCAACTGACAGTGCGCGCGCGTGCTGTGGGCTCTCATAAAGCACTCGCTCCCAACCAATCAGAACGCGAGATTTATGACAGGTATTTTATAAATATGAAATAGAAAGTGCGCGCGCGTGCTGTGTGTCCTCATAAAGCAAGCGCACCCCTCCAATCAGAACGCAAGATTTATAACAGGTATTCTATAAAATTTCATACCAGGCCTTCAGTGGATCCAGAATCTTCCAGTTCAGGGATCTCATTAAGAAAGTACGAAGCTACAGATCGTAAAGCCTCAGATGGCCAAGCCGAGAACCAGTCAATAGTACAACACGTTACTAACGATGGGAACTGTCGAAGACGAGCACGGAACACTTCACCGATGGGGCTGAGGATTTAAAATCAAAGATTAATCATCGTTTGGAATCTGGCAAATTCTGCCCATCTTTTACTCACTTTGGCCTTCAACAAAAAGCTCTCAAATTTTGTTAACAATTTGAAACAGCTTCTGCGTTGATCAAAGTTAAGGCAGCTAACTCACAGATTGAACCCTGAAACAACCTCTGGGTTTTGTAAACCAATGGCATTCCGCTAACAACGGATCCAAATATATATATATATATACTTCACATACCTCATACATACAACTGAATGTGTATTTGCTTTGACCCTTTTAGTAAAAGCCGAATACAAGTTAGCCTTAGTAGGCTGTAGTCCCTCATCTTGTACTACAGGCTTGAGAGCACTGTAAATAATATCCAGCTCGTCCATAGCAAACAGGTTAGGCACGTCTCCCGCGTTAAGGATGTTGTTCAAATCCTCGAGGAATGTCTCGCTTTTGATCTGCGTATCGCTGAAGAGGAATACTACAGATTTGTTCTCGACACCAGCCTTCATTAAGATCTTCTTGATGTCTTCTTTCCATTCGGAGATACCGTAGTTCTTGGCTAACTCTATCTGGAAACACTCGTACTCGGCTCTAAAAGACATGGGATAATAGTTGTTAGCCTAAAAACCCCTTGCAGCACTTTGGAATGCAGCTCAATCTGTGGGACAAAACAATAGGTTCCAATTCTAAGGAGATTGGAATTCTTTTGTTTTGTCCCCCAGATCGAGCTGCTTTGACGTCACATGTAAGGGGTCTATACCTACTAATGGTCTATCACAAATCCTGCGCTCTGATTGGTTGAGCTACTAGTAGTCTATTAGTGGTAGACCACTATATTAGGAAAAAGAGGTTTTTTTGAAAACTAAAACAAAAGTGGGCTAACTCGTGTTGTCAACCTTTTTTAAAACTTGTATCGATTTATTTGACAGATTTAATAGGAACTTAATTCGTTATGTTTTGAGGAGAGAAAAAAGTGGGAACCAGGACTAGGAGGCGATTGGACTACACTGGCATGCTCTTTTAAATTATTCATACTCTTGAATATCCGGGGGAAGGGAGGGGGGAGGGGGTCTTGAATTCCCTAGTTTTTTCCAAACTTTGATGGTAAAACTTACATGTGAGCAGCCAGCCTGGTCAAGCTCTGTCTACCACTTCCACCCATGCCAAGTAAAAGGGCGTTACCCAGCGGCTGTCTGATGATACGACTGATACGAGCCAAATGACGGGCAGCATCGCTGAATAATACCAGCTTCATTTGAGCTGTGTTGATTTGGTTGTAGTCTTCGAGGTATTCTTCTAGAATCTTAATCATCTGTAAAAACGAAAACGATAGAAACCTGATATCAATAGGAGCCCACGAATAACGATTATAGCAATCATCAACATTAACACCAGCAACACCTCTATCATCATCAGATCACCACCACAATCATTTTAAATATCGTCATCATCATTAACAATCATTATCACCAATATCACCTTAATCATCGTCATCAACAACATTACAATCGCCATGACAATCACCAATAGTCCTTTTCACAGCGAGACGAATGGTGAGCGGGCAATGATAGAGACCTGTTTTTAACACCTTGGACAATTATTCACACGTCTCTATCATTGCAAGCTCACCGTTCGTCTCGCTTCGATGCAAAGGCACGGATACCTTTCAAGATGGCGCAGGGAACTGTGAAGGGGACTATTATCTTAATCATCATAAAGCACTCTACGTGAATAAAGCACTACCTTGTTATAATCAGTAATCTCGTTGTACACACTGACTTCAGCGTTAGGCAGCATAAAGTCCCCATAAATCATCGGCGATTCTTTAATAACCTCATCCGTACTCGTCTGAAACCCTGTCAATAACCTCTCCTTCATCAGGTCATCAAACCACTTGGTGTCTTCTGCATTAACCAGCCTGTCCTGGAAGACACGGCAGTTCTCGTGGTACCAAAGGCGTAGGAGGTCGGCTTTTTCTGTCAGTTTGTCCGCTGGTACCATTAAGATACCTTGGAAGACTTTGGACAAGTCACGTAGATTGAAGGTATAGTGGCTCTTGGCTGGAGTAGGAAGAAGCTAGACAAGTACATCGACACATGTTAATTTATAAAAGAGTAAATGGTTTGAACCCAGGCGTTGAAGTTTGTTGTGAAATGTGATCGTCCGGGTGAGTGTAGTCTTGAGAATGACTGTTGTTGTAGTGCGTTGAAAGGTTATAGATAAGAAAGGGCTGCGTCTTTTATAAAAATGAAGTGAAATCGTTAGCCATACCTGTGTGATGACAGTATTGTAGACCGATATTGTACCATCCACAAGGGCGTTGCCTAGTAGTTCTTTTCCTTCTCCTTTGTAATCGACTAGATAAACCATTCATTTAATTAGAAATCGTAACAAAGAAAGGTTATTTAAAGTGGCTATCACCCTTCTGAGAACATTCATAGTCTTGATTCTACAAGGGGTAAGATGTCGAATAACCCGAAAAAAATTCATTTTGAATGCGGCTTCTTGAAGTTATAAAGGTTTTTCCGTGCCATATGCTTATGCTATGACGTATGAGGAGGCATTTATAGTTACTTCTTGTTCCTTGTAATTCGAAACACCGGCTTCTATGTGAAAACTAACTTGCAATAATTTCTATAAGAGCAATGGGGAAAACTATGACGTATTTTAAATTTAATTTATCTGTACTAGTAACGTTTTGTATAATGATCTCTCCTCATACGTCAGAGCATTAGATATGGCACAGAAAAATCTTTATAACTTCAAGAAGCCGCACTCAAACTATTTTTTYCCCCGGATTATTCAACATCATACCCCATGTAGAATCAATACTGTGAATATTGTCAGAAGGGTGATAGGCACTTTAAGAAACACGAATGATGCGCAAAAAGGTGCCTTGTAAAATACAAGTGCTGTGTATCCTATTTTGAGTAAAGTGCAAAATACGTGGTGCAAATACGAGTGCTATGCAACACTATTATACGTTAAAAGTCTTTCGTTAAAAGAAGAGAGGTGCGTAAAATATGGGTGACCCAAATCCCCTTTCCAAGGCGTGTGAAATGGAAAAAATGCTTGGGTTAGGAAAAACTTTCTCATTGTTGAGTGCATTATTCTTTCAGATCTCTGACTCGCGAGGGGGTGTAAATGTGCTATGAATTTTTCTCGCAACGAATAATACTGATAACTTTGTGCACTTGCTACCACGTTAGATTATATTACGGTGGTTAAGGGATACTATCTTTATTCTAGTGCATACACTGTGCTGTGCTATGTTAACTATCAGTGATGTTATTGGAATAGACTTCTTTACCTTGGGCATTAAGTTCTCCCATTTCAGACCACGTGCCATTTCATTGAGAATAAGATTTTTTGCGTTTTTTTTGATTTTTTTAAACCTTTGCTCATTGTTAGACACATGAATACGGACACAACTCAAACGAAGAATCTTATTCTCAAGAGAGTGACACGTGGTCTGAAATGGGAAAACATTACTCCCAAGGTAAAGAGGTCTATTATATCATTGTCGTTATCATGCATGTGTTATATGTTATTGTTCCACACTAGTACTCATCTGGCTAACCTGTTGACCTAGCAAGTACAACGTTTCTCTCTGTAGTGGGAAAAAATAGGAATAAAATGTGTGAGTGATAAAGAAGAAAGTTAAGGAATGGGAAGTTGAATTGGCCGGTTAGCAAAGACAATCAGTAGGTCAGTTGGTTTGTTGGTCAGTCGGAAGTCGTTCAGTTTGTCAGTTGGTTAGTGGTCAGACGTTGGACAGTCAGTCAGTCGGTCAGTTAGTTGGTTAGTGGGTCAATCATTCAGTCAGACACACAGACAAAGAGACGAACGGACAGAAAAATGGAGCAAATGGAGAGAGTACAAGATTGGGCAATAAATAAAACCGAGTAGCAAAAACACAGTGTCTCTTACCTAGCCATGACCTCAGGATGGTGGAGAAGACCCTCTGTTTGCTAGCATCCTCTAGCTCAGTGAAGGACAGATGATTGAAATGTCTCAAGAACCTGGGTGTGACTGGGTTACGTCCACCCCCTGGGGGACCCATTGCACATGCAAATGTAATGTCTACCAGCTCACGGAACAAGCCTGAAAAAACGAACATAAGCAAATATCGTGCTAAGTAGAAAAACTAGAACTCAAAACAAGGATGGAAATAGTAGGTTTGGGAAGGTAAGCTTTCCCTATCCCCTTGGGATCAAGCAAAACAAAGAACTAAGTGTGGAATCTTTGTAAAGAACCCTTACACTAAATACCTACCTGGGCATCGAAAAAATTGAACATATTAACATCAAAAAATTTCAATACTCAAAAGAAGGGAATTCTTTTGCTTTGACTCTCAGATTGGGAATACTCCAGTTTCGAGTTCTCTGTTGCTCAGGGTTAGCTTCGATTTTGTGCAGAATATTAATGTTTTCCAGTGAAGGTCCGTGGAATTTTAAAGTGTTTGTATTATTCTGTGCATTCTTTACTTTACCGTTGGTTTTTGTGAATATTTAGACACTGATTCGAGGCTAACCCTGAGTAAATGAGTCTGTTATCATGGAACACAGCGGTAATTTGGAACTCGAAACTGGTCTATTAGTGCGAGGGGTTCTATTGACACTCTTCAGTGTTAACAACCACCCCACCCCCTTCAAAGCACCATAGACCCAGCTCTGCAGAAGTGGAACAAAAAAATCTCTTGATTTATACATAATGGTTAGGGTAAAGGAAATATGAATACTTACCAATAGCTTTTCTATCGTACCAGCCTCTGTGGTCACAAAATTGCCTGAGGATCTCAATAGGAGGCTGTGCTCCATAGACTTCCAAGGCAGGCATGTTAAGGTCGTCTACAAAGAATACATAGTACTTTCCCAGTGGTGGCCCAAATACACCCTTACGCCTGAAATGGTACAACAATCAATCTCTGAGCCAATCAATAAGAAGTAAACCAGATCCATCCCATTCAAATAGCCATTTCGAGTGCACGACAAAATCTGGGTCGAGTTGTGCATTGTGGAGCTTTAGGTTACATATTCCCAAGATGGTGCCTATTTCATCTCCTAAGACGGCCCAAATATGCACTGCAATGTTAATTCGACCCAGTTTTAACTCGTCCTCGACCTCTTGAGGTTTGAAGTATTTTTTCTTTATCAGAACACGTGTCATTCTCTTGACAATAAGATTCTTTGTTTGAGTTAAATCCATATTCGTGTATATCCGTTAAACAAAGAAATGATACACTAGGGAATAACACGTGGTCTGAATTGAATAAGGAAACCTTTGAAAAGCTTTAGTATAAATACACAGGTGATTATTGAAAATCTCGCGCGCTGATTGGTCGAGAAACTCAGATTATCACACGATAATCACCTCCAGCGATAATCCAAAATGGCGGCCAGCCATGCTGTTACCGGAAAAAAATGTGTCTTTTATCTTTTTTTTTTTCTTTTTTTGAAAGAATCACCTGTGTATTTACTAAAACAATTATTCACCTCAGGCTCAGTGAATATCGAGAATAATATTCTCAACCTCGTTCCGGTTATTATTCCCCGATATTCGCTTCGCCACTCGGTGAATAATTGTTAAATATTCAATAATTGCAGTGTATTTCTGCCACAGCAGATGGAAAACACGCGAAGGCTTGTTTTACGATCATTCTATTAATTGATCTGTTCAAGAAAATACTGTTTTGTAGGAAAACCATGAACTTCTCAGTGGGATCAACGATGTGTACCAACCTCTTGTCTAGTTTACCATCAATAATATCTTGCGTCTGATTGGCTGATGTACGGGCCGAGAAGTTCAAGAAGTGTGACATATATGCACCAGGCATTTTGTTCAGCAGTTTGTCAGCTATACAAAGGGTCTTTCCTGAGCCTGTAGGTCCTACACACAGCACCTAGATAGAAAGAAATAGCATTTATATGGTTCAGATAAAAAGAGATGGTAACCGGAAGTAAAATACGTATACGTATTTCCGGTTGCGACTGCGCAATACTACAGTTTCTAGTTCTCTTTGCTCAGCCTTACGTCCGAGCAGCCAGTTCTCAAATGGTACGTGTCAGTTCTTATTAGACTTTGAACTCGGTCAATCAGTACTATAGAGTGTTTTCCAGTGACGTCACAGCGGCCATTATGGGCTACCAAAACAATACATTTTCTATTCTCCGGGAATAGTCCAGTTTCGAATTCCAAATTACCGCTGTGTTTCTTGATTACAGACTCATTTACTCAGGCTTAGCCTCGATTTTGTGAAGAATATTCACGTGTTCCAGTCAAGGTCCGTCGAGTTTCAAAATGTTTGTATTGTTGAAGTTGTGCATTCTTTACTTTACCGTTGGTATTTGCGAATATTTAAACACTGATACGAGGCTAACTCTGTGCAAATAAGTCTGTAATCAAGGAACACAGCGGTAATTAGGAATTCGAAACTGGTCTATTGAACTCTATTTTTATGCAAATACTGTGCAGAAAGTTTCTATGAAGGTTGTGAACAAAGGGATCTGGCATGATTCGTGACTTTTGAATCACGCCAGATTGTTTTGAATCATGCCAGATCCCTTCGTTCACAACTTTTAAAAGCGCCTCACATCGGTTCGAGTTTTGCATTTGGTCTATACAATGGACCTTGATAAAAGAAAAGAACACATTTGTACACAATCGAGGTTAAGACTGAGCAAAGACCAACTCAAAATGGGAGTAACGGTTCCGTGCCACTAAAACAAGATAACGGCTGCCGATGATGGATGTCAAATGCTCGCTTTTTTTAACGTGATAATACACACACTAACTCCCGAGGCATAACAAAAGGTAATCCATGTCTTAGTACATGGGGTATTTTCTCGTACCCAGACCCTTCTCAGCGATAAAACGACTTTTTTTGTTAGAAAGCTGAGAAGGAATTGGGTACGAGAATGTACAAGGGGCCGTTATATTGACTTACTTGTTTGTGATTAACGAGTAGTTTCTCTATGATGAAAGATCCACGTACTAAATCCATGGTTGGTACAATGATGTCTGAGTACTTCATCTCTTGAGGGATGGTGTACTCTTGTAACCCATCCATCCAGTTCACCCACTTGATCTAGTGACAAATGCATGATGTATTATGTCACATAACAATATCACGTGATAATCACGTAATGGCAGCCATGACAGGAGGCACAACAAGTCGTTTTCCCCTGGGAAACTGAATTTTTTCTCATATAAATCAGATTAGACCAGATTGTGTCATGGCTGCCATCACGTGATGGTACAAAGCCTCTATACAGGACAACAAACAGCCGCAACGAAACAGTAGTAAGCAACAACTATCATCGATGTTTCTCAAGAACATTACCGAGACAGTCATATAAGGCCAAACAAAAAAATAAGTGTGTTTCCTACTGCATGAGAAAAATAATTGGGGTCAGTATAGGTTGGACTTTTTTTACTGATACAACAGTGGAAATGAGCTTACTGGGAACCCTGTGGTACATTTAGGAATGAAAAACATATTAGCGTCGGCAAAAATCGTCAAGAAAATTAGGGTTAGGGTGGGAAAAAATGGGCATGTTGTCTTCAACTTGTGGGAGCCTTTTTTGCACTTACTGCGGATGGCAGTGACGTACAAACCTCACTGCGCATGACATTGCTGTACAACGACCATCAAAGTATAAAAGTTAATGTTCGCGAGGTATATGGTCGCTCTACTTCAACTAAAGGTTGTGAATATACCCGTTTCGAATTCCAAGTTACCGCTGTGTTCCTTGATTGCAGACTCATTTGCACAGGGTTAGCCTCGTATCAGTGTTTAAGAGTGGCTGTCCGTAACGGTCGAGAATGGCGGGACAGCGAAGGAATTTTCAAATTTCTCATATTTTGTCAGAAGACACCCTTTGGTAAGCTCTTTTAAAAAATCCAGTTTAAAACTTCAAGCGCTTTTTTATTTTGGCGAATTTTACGAA